CTTGTTGGTGGAAAAATGTACCACGTCGACCAATCAAAAAATGATATGGCAACATGTGGCATCTGGTTGTTTGGGAAGAGAGGGAAGCTTTAGGAGTGAGCGAAAGAGAGAGAATTTTCACATTTTCACATGGTCTTATTGAGACTTTTTTTTTTGCTTGGATTTGACCCTGAAAAAGGCGTCTGAACCAAGAGACTAATACTGTGTGTGTGTGTTCAGTGTGTCCTCAGAGACAGTCTGGAGGAGATGAAGCAGTTCTTCTCGGTGAACAGCAGCTGCAGGCTTCCTCTGAACCCAGCACTGCTCGTCACCAGCATCAACATCCAGGTAGCACACACCTTAAAGACAGGAGACACGCCCCCAGCTGGCGTTTGTATCTGATTGGACAAAGTTAATCATCCTCTTCTGTGGTTTCCAGTCCTGCTCGTTCTTCAACTCCAACGCTGTCCCTCTGAAGTTGTCCTTCCAGAACCGGGACCCACTGGGAGACAACATCAGCGTCATCTTCAAGGTGACGCCCCTTACAAGTGATCCCAGACACAGCGACCTCTGCGAGCTGACCTTTGACCCCGGCTGTTCTCTCTTTGTGTGCAGTCAGGAGACGACCTGAGGCAGGACATGCTGACTCTGCAGATGATCCGCATCATGAACAAGATCTGGATCCAGGAGGGGTTGGACATGAGGATGGTCCTCTTTAAGTGCTTCTCCACGGGGAGGGGCCGAGGTGAGCACGGACACACCTGTCCTCAGGTGTGACAGAAAGGAGTGCGTCCTGTCCTCAGTAGGGCCGGACATTCTCACTCATTTCTAGAATCGATTTGATTAAATTTGAATCATGGAAATTTTGCCTCAGACAGTCAGAAATATTATAATTCTGATCACTTATCAGTACATATCTATAAAAAGGAAGCTGACACTGTGAGACTTTATCAAAGGTGTGAGCGTCACAGCAGCTTTGTGTCAAAGTAGCTGAAGATAAAACAGAAAAACATGGAGGAGGTTTTCCTGGTCTGGGATTTTACAGCAGATGACCCTGAAAATATTCTGCAGTCAAAAACGAAGTGAAGCAGAGTTACAGAGGTTTGATTACAGACACAGCGTTTTGCAATTTGGCATCATTTTAAAAAGTTTAAATATGTTCAGTATCAGCAGAAATGAGGCTTTCTGTCAGAAGTAAAACAAAACAAAAAACAGCGACACCGTGGACTGTTGGGTAATAAGCAGGGTTAGAGAGAGAGAGAGCTCTACATGAAGTGTGATCTTTATCGTGGTGGAAGAAAAACAGTCAGAGGGAATTCATGACGATGTTTATGTGAAGCTAAATATGAAGCGTAGTCTTTGGCTGCTGGTTCAGTCAATGTTGTTAGGAGATATAAGAGCTTCAGAATCAGCGAGCTGTCGGCTTTCAGCCCCGAGCGTGTCCGTGCTGTCGGGGGCGACAGCTCGCTGATTCTGATCCGTCGGCGCTTTGTGTTTACGTCTCTGTGCAGGATCCGTGTTCCTGCTCTCATTTACTGTTTCAGCTGTTTGGTGGTTGTTGGAATTTGTGAGGTTGAACCTGAGATTCTGGCGTTTTCGGCAAATCGATAATCGATAAATCGATCATCAAAACCCACCCCTAGTCCTCAGGTGTGATTGACAGGTGTGTGTGTGTGTCCTCAGGTGTGAGTGAGGTGTGTGTGTGTATGTGTGGAGGAAGATCCAGGTGGAACACGGTGTCACGGGATTGTGTGTGTGCAGGTGTGATTGACAGGTGTGTGTGTCCTCAGGTGTG